AAAAAAAAACAAAAATCAGAAACTTTAAATATACTGAATGAATTGCATATGAGATCTCACCAGTTTGTATTGATATTGATCTGATTCGCCGTTGGAGTCGCACTTCCATTTACCACAGCAGTTGGTGGTTGCACAACATTGAACGTGGAAGTAGTCGAAGTAGGCCACTGAGGCTGAGGTACTATACTTGGATCCTTGGCAACACCATAGTTCACCACGTCATGGGAGATGGACGTCGACGGCGTTACACCAATGAGGTCGAATACATCGACAGAGGGTGCGGTTGCTGGCCCTAAAAACTCTCACTGCATGAAGGCATTTGAAAGAATGATAATCATACATTGACCTTTATCTAGAGTTCAATTAGAATAAACCTTGACTATTTTTCTTGATTTCAATTATTGCCATTTCAAATTAGCAAAGAGCCAACAAAAGCTAGGGTAGTCACAATTCGAAGTCGAAGAAGTGGATTGAGAAGTATAAATTTCAACTATGCAAGGCACTTATACGGTACGCCACACGAAATAACAAATTACATTGAAATCAGAGAGCTTAATTCTTTCCACAAAGCAGCAGAAGTCTAGAAAAGCCAGGAGCAATCAAAATAGAAAACAAAACTTACTTTCGACATCACAATAGAATGTCAATGATTTGAGACTTTAGTAGTTAACTGAGAAGATAAAAATTATAGATGGACAGCACGCTTATACAAAAAAAAGCTGTTCAGTTGTTTTCTCTTTTAATTGCCGTATTCTAGAATCTTTTCAGTATGAATGCGTGAACAAAAAATCGTATACCAACTAGAAAAATTTTCAAAGAGAATTTACTTGTATATGAAATGATTTGAAACTTACTATTGAAAGTAGATGTTAATGGCCGTGATGGACTGTTACTACAGTCAAAAGAAACGGGGCTCGAGGTGAAAGGTGTTAAAGCTTGGCCTGCATTTTCTTCTTCACCTTCGTATATGGGTTCGTTGTGCAGAGATTGTTTACCGAATGCCTGAACATAAAATTGAACGACACTGAAATCACTATAGCATCGACAATCAATTTTTAAACTATCCACAAACCAACTGTAATGGCCTATAGAGTCGTAAACGGAAGTTTGCATGCATGCGGCGAATCTGTTCGATTCTGGTTAAAACTCCTTCTTTTATATCATCTTTTGTCTTATAAGAAAGCGCCAGGAGATATTCAACGTCAATATATTCAGAAGGAATAATAGAACACATGGGGTGAGACTCAAAAGTCGAGAAGGGGCACACAAAAAATGTTTTGACGTGATGCATTATAGGTTCGCAAACTGGTTGGAAGATAGAATCGGCTTATAGGTGTGCATATTATGAATTGCAAATGCAGATTTTATGCTGAAATTTGGTCTAGTAAAGCTACAAAAACAACAAAAGAATTCTAGATTTCAAAAAATTGCGTGAGGAGCTTGCCACCATGCGAGCCAAATTAGCTATAGGTTAGAGAAAAAACAACGATAACATTCCCAACCAAGAAACAGAGTGATATATATAGTGCAAAGATAATTGAGAAAAAACATATCAAACAACAAACAGTTATACATCACATAGAGATCTTCCTTTTTGCATATGCCGATCTATACAAACCTTTAGATAAGCTGGAAACGTTACGCAAAAAAAAAATGTTGAGATTGCTATCAGCATGATGATAACTTTGATCTTAGCTCAAAGAAAAGGATACCGAACCAAATGGATTTGGCTCTTTTCGATTACTTACCGTCTTTATAGGAAAACCATCTAGACTTTGAGCATTAGTCCGCAAAGAATAGTTCCTTCGAAACTGGGCTGCCGTGGAAGATTCTGGAGCACGCAAAGATCCCTAAAAGTAACAGCATTGTAAAATCAAAAAAGG